GCTAAACACGCATTCTGGAATTGTATCAACAACTGCAGCCAATGCAAGATGACGTATGCCGCCTACTTTGATGGTCGGAAATGTGCAGAAGCTTGTTTAAAATCTAAAGGTCAGATAGTACCAGACTGTAATGATGGAGGAACAATTTTCTCGTACTTGAACAAGCTTGAATGAAAATAAATTTGTTTTGAGGAACAACGTCTGTATTTTACAGGAATTTTTCAGTTTTTTTAGTTTTGGTTATCCCGTGTTTTTATTCCTTTAAAAGAAAAAAGAAATCGACATGCCATGTTACAACAAATTTAAAATTTGTAACTAAATTTAACGCAAAATTTTCAGACAAAGAAAAATAAATGAGTGGTACAAATTGTAATCAAAATTGTCATCTAAATTTTCGATAGAGATTTATGATAGATGCTAGGTCAAACTCAGTAAAAAAATATCCAATCTTTTTGACCTTTTGAAATTTAAATTTAAAAAAATATATATTTCAGAGATGACAACTGTTTCGCTTTGGGTCAAAAAATTTTGCACTAAACACTAAATTTAGCAGAATTTCGAATACTTTTGAAAAATACAGTAAAGGCCTTACCACATTATGATTAAATGGAATTTTACAATTTAAATATTTATATGCAATGGTGGGTAAAATCACTCTTGATGAAATTTACTAATCTTGCAAATTTTGGTACCAATTAATAATTTCCTTCACTAAGTAAAGCAAGATGGCATTGCAGATGTTGAAATCCAGAAAGTTTATTTGGATACCTGCAAGTGACGTCATCGTAGGGAAATCTCGACATTTGTCAAATCAAGAGCCAATCAGGTTCGACACACAAGCGTGACTTCGCTTGCAGGAATCATTTAAATCACATGGTTAGGCAATCATCGCTTCGTACACAGTGGCAGATCCAGCATACCAAATTGGAAGAAAAAATTTTTTGTAATAGCTTACAAAAGAAATAAAATATTTTAAGAATTATTTAAAGGGGCATATACACCCAGGTAGGTAGGAAAAATCGATTTTTTTTTTCTTCCATCTAATTATTGCAGTTAGTTCAGCAACAGCAGAACGTTCCTTCTCAACTCTTCGACCTCTCAAAATTTGGCTTAGAGCAACTCAAAATCAAGAACGATTAAATGGACTCGCATTATTAAACATTCACTGAGAAATTGATTTGGATGTTGAAAAAAACATTAACAGATTTGCCAAAGTTTCTAAAAAGCGCATTATTTGAAGATTTTGAATACTTGAATTATTTATGCATTGCTCTATTGTTCATTATGAAAAAAATAAATGAGAAGACTAGCATTAAGAACCCCAGTTTTTTTTACAAAAAAAAAATATTTAAAAAGTTTTTTAAAATTAAAAAATAAAAATAAATAAATAAAAAAAAAATAAATAAATAAAAAAAATAAAAATAAAAAAAAAGTAAATAAAAAAAATTAATTGTGTGTGTGT